TCCACTGCAGCGAGGCTCAACTTACTTGCTCATACCTCTTTGCTTATTTCATCTCTACTGCGGATTTTAATTCAGATACTACTGCTTATTGAACTCTGTCTCCCTGGTTGCTTGTTCGTTTGTGCAATCTCACAGCACTGTGTACCTTTAGAACACTTACGCCAGTTTGTAGCGATCCATTTGTTTTTGTGATTATTTGTGTCCGCCACTCAATAAGGGCCATGACTGTGTTTGTGTTTATTCACTATTGTACTTCCAGTGCCTAATACTTTTCTTGCCTGATGTATACTAAGGTGCAAATAAACATTTGTTAAATAAATGACTGAATGTATATATCAGATCTGACACTTTTAGATTTTTGTAGTCATTTAGAAATCTATAGGTAAGAATTCACTGACATGCAAATGAAGGAGATATAGGCCCACTGTAAAAATTATCTTCAACATCTCCAAATGGTAGTTTCTGCCAAGTATACTTAATACTTTACACTAATTACTTCAGACATAAAGCAGGTGACAATGATTTGCTTGTCTTTGGATTACTTTTCCCTACCTTTCCACTTCAAGAATTTGGACTTGTCCAGGGAGTATGAAATGTGACCTTTTATAACTGCACCTAATACAAATAACTAAGAAATATCAATAGCCTGTGGTAGCCTCCAACACAGGCTTTACTTTGATTTGCTTTTTTACAAACGGATATAATTTACATACCATAATGTCCACCCCTTTAAAGTATACAATTCAGTGGTTTTTAGTATTTCACATGTTTGTGCAACCATCATCACTAATTTGAGAATATTTTCATACTTTAATCCATTTCCGAAGTCTCTTTTCTTACAGGTACAAGAGAACAATGAGATACATGCAATTGAGAACTCCAAGAAAGATCCGAAGATCTAGAACAAAACTGGAGTCAGCAAGTGTAGTGGTGTTACTGTAGTCATAAAAAGAGAACTGCACTGCAAGTAGTAAGAATATGACAGTTACCACTATGGCTCAGGCTACAGCAGACACATTTGAATTCTGTCCTGTTTAAGAGCTGCTCTCTAAAAGTTATAAGAAGAAAAGAGTCCGAGGAGAGTAACAGAGAATTAAAGTGCAGAAAATACTCACAATGAAGCTTTAAAGAGCTTGCAGTAATGTAGCCTAGGACAGTTATTTAAGGACAACCTTAAAGTATCTGAAAGGATTGTTATACAGAAAATGGTGACCTCTTCTTTTTCCTTTCACTAAGGAAAAGATAAAGAAAACAGATTCATTCTTCAGTATGAAAGATTAGGTTAGAATAAAAAGCTATGAGACAGAGACTTGTTAAACAACAGAATGGTGGTGGCAGCAAAAAGTCATCTGATACTTTTTCAAATCTTAAACATTGCAAAGAATAGTATAAAGAATTCCTTCACTCAAAAGTCCCCATTATTAACACTTTACCACATTTGCTTTATCTTCTATGTACATAAATATGTATATCTTGTCAGAATCATTTGAGTGTCATAGACATGATTCCCCCTTATCCCTAAATACTGAGTACTTCCTAAAACAAAGTAATATTACAACAGTAATATTACAAAAATCACTAAATTAACACTCACACAATATTATTATTAAATCTACAGACCTTCAGACCTTATTTAAATTTTCCCTACTATCTCAATAATGTCCCTTAAAGAAAAAAAAAATTCTGTTCCAGGATCCATGTTCATGTTGCCATGTTTAGTTTCATGTTCCATAAATTCCTTTAATTGGAATGGTTCTTCAGTCTTTGTCTTTTATGATTTTCATATAGTCTCAAGAATACAGGTCACTTTTTTTGCAGCCTGTCCCTCAATATGAGTCTCTGTTGCTTAAAAAGAAAAGATCCGCATTTGTTTCGGGAGTTTTAGGGGTAGTCTCCAGTGAAGACCGTAGATAGAATGAGCCTTTCTTTTCAAGGTTTCTCCCAGCCACTTCATACTAATTATTCCTACAATATTAGAATTATAGATATGGTGGAATGGACGATAAAACATTTTTGGATTCAGAGCTAACCTGATTGTA